TTCTTCTTGCTTTTCCTGATCCTCTGGTCAGTGTGTTCTGGGTGCTTCTCATCTGCATTCCTTTCAGGTGCTGTAGGCTCTTCCTCCTCTTTGTGCTTCTTTTTCTTTTTCTTCTTTTTGGGGGGCTTGCTCTCTGACTGTGGTTGAGAGTCCTGAGAGTCCTGGCCTTTGAGATGAGCCAGGAAGGCCTGCTCCTGGGCCTCCAGCCGAGCAAGTTTGGCCTTCATCGTAATCCCAAGACGGGCAGCCCTGAAATAGATGGGGTCCAAGTCAGAGCAAAGGTATCAGGGGAAATGGGCCTAATCTTTAGGCCTGCAGGGAGCACTGGGGGTGAGGGACAGCAGGGAGCTTCCTATCTTCAGGCAGTAGGTGGGTAGATAGTAGGAATCATTTCCCTGGGGTGAAAAGGTTCAAGAGGTGGCACAGGCCATCCTCTAGGGTGGGCAGAAAAAAGGGAGCCCAGGGAGTTGACAGCTACTTACTTGTGTGCTGTTCGCCCCTCACAGGCTTGGAGCAGCATCTCATCCGTCAGACTGTTGCGGGGAGATCAGGAGTTACGAACAAACCTGATGGAAAGGCTTGACCTCTCCTCCCTTTAAAACAACCTGTCAACACTTGAGTTCTTGTTCAGGATCTGGCACTTTGTGAGGTGTGAGGGATTAGTAAAACTCAGTTCTACCCCATAAGAAGCCCACAGTCAAGCATTAGACTTAGTCCTTCTCTTGAGATCTGAGGGCATCTCCTCCCACATACCCCCAATACTAAAATGAAGTCTCACATCTTTGGGGGCTTGGGTCTCTGGTTGTTGACATCACTGCAGCTCTCCATGTCTTTGTCTGGCTTCTCTCCATCTGAAGTCAGGGTGGCTGTCTAGAAGGAGGGATCATGGGGGTAGACAAGACCCACTCAACACCACTGCCATCCCCATTCCTTTGTGGAAGCCCCTAAGAATTCATAGCCCTAGGCAGACTTTCCCAGCCCCCGACACTGTTCCTTGCAAAGTCACAGAGAGGTGTACCATCCTGCATACTTCAACTTGGGCAGGAGGTGAGCTGTAGCTGCTGGGAGGTGGAGCAGCTTTGGCCTCTGGCTCACTCCTGGCTTGTGGGCAGAACAAGAAGGGAGTGCTCTGGGTCATCAGATCTTCACAGCGGGACAAGTGCCAGTAACTGACAATAAAGATGCCCTTCTCCACCCCCATCACAATACCTATTCACAGTAACTTCATTTAACCAGATTAAATAAGAGTCTACTATGGGCCGAGGAGTGGGGGATACAGAGTGGAATAAGAATGAGATGCATCCAGCTCAGATGGAATCTGCTTGGGGTGGTGGGTAAGGCAGAACATAGGCAATTATGATGCAAGTATTGCCTGTGCTAGAGGAGAAGTACTCAGGATTCAGGGTTTAGGGAATGGTTTCTAGAAGTAATTGACATGTACACTGAGCTCTGGAAGACAAAAAGTTAGCAGGTAAAAGGGGAAAGGGAGAAGAATGTTCCAGGCAGAGGGAATAGCATGTGCAAAAATCTGAAGGTAGAAAAACATGGTACCTTCAAAGAAGAGAAACAGATTCCACTTGGCTAAAATGTAAGAGTCCTGGAGAGAGGTGGCAAGGGATGAGACAGGGAAGAAGGCAAGGACAAGACATGAAGGGCCACGTAAGCCAGTCTGATAAATCTGGACTGTGTCATCCTAGGTCAAAGGGGAGCTAATGCCATGATGAAGTTTGTGTTCTAGAGAGAACACTCTGGATGCTTTGTGGAGGATGGACTGATTGGAGTAGAGGTGAGGAGGCTGTAAAAGAAATTAGGCAAGAGATGATGATGGCCTGAAGTGGGGTAGGAAATGGCAACAGAGATGTAGAGAAAATGGGAAACGTAAAGCACGTGACAACCATTAAATGTTAGCTTCCTTCTTTTGGTATAGCTGAGAGTGGGAGTCTGAAGACCTGGGTTCTAGTCCTGTCTGCCATAGCTAGCCAGCTGTGGGCTCTTCAGCAAGCCGCTTTTCACCCTTTTGGTCACATCAGCAAAGTAAGGAGGATGGACCAAGTAATCCATCCCTCAGGTCTCCTCTGGCTTCTAAGTCCTTTGAATTAGATGCCTCCCCCACCCCCAAATCTGGCAGCTCCTGACTTGAGGGACTGCACCCTATCTCCTGCTCCCTATTGCTGCTCCCTCAACAGATGGCAGGATCCATGAAACCTAAAGATCTCAATTCTTGCTGAGGGTCTGGGCAGTCTAAGTAACCAACAAGGCTGGTCACAGGATCCACTGTTAGGATAGTGCTGAGAATTGATAAGGCATAAGGCAATTGTTCAGGTCCCAAGCAAGATCAGAGAAGGAAGAAAGGATGGACTCTCTCACCCCCAGCCTCTAATACCTTCACAAACTTCTGATACAGCAAGTTGGGCTTGGGAGGATTACGACAGGTGGTCTCTGTAGAAAGGCGCCTTATCTGTACTCCATCCTGTAGGGAAGTATCAGTGAGTGGGTGACATACCCTGTCTCCCCATTCCCACATGTCCCAGGCCCCATCTATCTGAGCTCATACCTGTCCAGTTTCCACTACCAAGTTGGCTGCAGTCTTGTTGAAGAGCTCATTCCACCAGTGGTTTGTGAACTCCTTGGCAGGGTCATGTCCCACCTGCCAGGGGAATAAGTAAGAGCTCTAAGTACCTGCCCTCAAGGATCCCCCTCTCCCATCCATGCTGACCTCCCTCAGCCTACCCCGTCTTACCCCGTGAGTGTCCTGCTTCAGCGTCACTCTGAGAGCCTGGGTGATGCCATTCTCCTTCCGGCCCAGGCCTTTGCCTGCAGAGCACAGTGAGTGACTTGGCTTATTCTGTTGCCTGCCCTGAGCCCTCACAAGGCACCCTCCACTCGTGCCACTCCTTGCCACTCAACACAGCTGGCACTGGGGCATACTCTGTCCCTCTCTGAAGCCTTCCCAGCTCCTTTCTTTTCAGTACCACTAGTACCACTCCATGTAGCCCCTCTGCCTTTGTCTGAGCCTGAACTATCTCTTCCTTCATAACTCTTGGAACAGAGGCCATTTCTCTTCTTCCCTCCCCGAGTCCTCCCAACCCACTTCTTCCTCATTATCCACTGTCAGATTTCTTCCATTCTTCCGTTTTCTGGAAAAGTCAGAAAATTTCTTCTGCAAATTTAAACTAGCTTTTCCTCCAATTAAATGGACTGCCTGGGGGTAATCCAGGATGCCGCCTCTCGCCTGGGCAGAGCATAGGCAAGGAGTGGGGTGTGTGGACGAGGCCCCAGGGGGATCACCTTGAGTCCATCCATGCTTTAGCAGCTGCTCCTCAGCAAACTTCATCCCATGACTCTTGACCTCTGGGGTGACACTCATGGTGAGAAAAAAGCGTCTGTCCTCAAACTCTCACCAGGGAAGAAGAGGTGATATCATCCTTTTAAGAAGAAAGAAGAAAGTGCCCAAAGCAACCATCACCTCCACCCTCACTACTTGTGTAAGAATTCTCTTTCCTGAGCCCTGGAGAGAGACAGAGGAAGGAGGAGGCCTGGTCTTTGGGGAGCTCCCTGTATGGCCACAGAGAGACCAAGATCAACATGCCGAGAAGTCGGGGACTGGTGTTAACACAGATGCTTAAATTTATGCAGCACTCATTACATGCTGGGCTGTGCTAAGGCTTTACATGGATTATGTTATTTAATCTTCCCAGCCTGTTCAGGGAAATATTATAATACCTGTTTTGCAAATGAGGAAACTTAAGGCCCAAAGAGGTTAGGTGACTTCCTCAAGGTCACATAGCTGTGTGTAGAACTCAAACCCAGGCAACTTGTCTGCACAGTCCATACTCCCACTACAAGCCATCTCCCAGAATGTATTACCATGTAAAAACAAAGCTGTGAGGTGCTTTTTAACCTGAGTTATAAGACAATGGTACTTAGTAGAGTCCCTATCCTGTATCAATGCCTCAGCATTCACTGTCTTGGTGTGGGGACTACACACTTCTCCCACACTACTGCTCTATTTCAGTCGTGTTGATGCTCCCCTTTTGAAACTGTCCAGCTTAGGAAGGGCACTCTTATTGAGCATTTAATGCATAACTGGTAGATTACAGATATTTTCATATTGTTTCATCTTGACAGCCCTGTAATCTAGGTATTATCCTTATTTTACAAATGAGGAAAACAAGGCCTAGGTTTTTTGCCCGAGGTTACACAGCCAGTAAGAGAGAGAACTGGAATATGAGCCCAAGTTGCCTGACTCTAAAGTGGTCCTCTTTCTATGACATCGCCAGCTAGTTGTGTTTCTTTACAGTAACTCACATGTTTCTCCTTTTGGACCCAGACTGGCATGATCCAGTTTATATACTAAATTTGCTAACACTTGTAGCACATCTACTCAATGCCAGCGGTTGCTAATTGCTTCACACGGATTATCTCATTTAGTCCTGCCAACAACCCTATTGGGAAGTGTTATCCAAAATTTACAAACGAGGAAACAGGCTCTGAGAGGTTTAGTTACTTGCCCAAATCAAAATAGCAAGTAGTGGATTCAGGATTGGTATTCAGGCGTTCCAGACCCAGCGTCCTTAATCACTACACTCTTCAGTCGCATATCTCTTTGTGCTTTCTGCTGGAAGACCACAGCCTATCCCTGTGCAGTAATTCACAACTACACTTCCTGGAAGTCAGAGCCGGGCCTTATTCCCCAAGCCAACAGCACTTAAAGCAGCGCCAGAAATCGACAGCGCGTGTAGTCCTTACATGTTCTACCTGAATAACACAGGTGGGAATCGCTTTAACGGTCTTTCAGTTGGACAAAACCTCTGTGCCGCAGTCTTTGTGAAGGCTGCGGGCACACTTTGGGGCACTGTCTCCTTCCAGCTCAATCTGAGTTTTCAGGAGAAGTGGCCCAGGGACACTCGTCTTAACAGCGGTACTAAAGAGCCGGCCGCCCCTTCCCTAAGCCTCCTTCCTCTTCAGGTCTAAATTCCAGCCCTCCTGCGGCAGTGCCACTTGGGTAAAAATACTCCGCTGCTCTCACATGTGCTACTGAGCCCGGGCTCCCACTGCCACCATCCGGGGGAAGGGAGACCTTACCGTCATTGCGGGGTCCTCTCTGCTGAAACATGTGCCATACCGGACGTATGTGCCGCCATCTTCCCGGAAATGCTGTTTTGGTCCTTCTAGGCCATCGAAACCATAGAGACGCTGGCGGAAACTAATATCACAGTCCTCCCAGGAGAAACGATTGTGGAGGCCAACTTGCCGGTATGGTTACCATAGAAACTGGGCCCTGGAGCGTGCCCACTTCCGGAGGTTCCGAGACAGTTCCATTTGCTTCCTCCTTGCAATCCTTGAGCAGTCAAGGGACTTCAGCCCTAACTGGCCCTCTCAGCATGCCAAGAAGAGCTTTGGATCCTACACTGAGCTAGTCCTGGGCATAAACATGAAAAAGGAAAACTTTAGGAAAACATCGAGAGTGGCCTGAGGGATTCGTGGAGGCAGAGAAGGAGGGGATACCTGTGCCATGATTTTGCCAGGATGAATACTCAGCCTTCGGGAACAGTTATTTATGAACGCGTAGAGACTAGAGATTTCAGTAAGTTCATCAAATGCCTTTTGACTCCCCACTGTGTGCCAGGACCTATCGCTCTGGTACTGGGGGATACAAGGATGCATAAGACACGAGCCCTGATTTCAGGAAGCACCCTGTCTAGCCTGGAAAAGTCGGGAATCTTGAGTGGGACTGGAGGAAGTGGGGTGTGGGACATGGAGAGAGATGCAGGATCTCAGGATGCATGCTAGGCTGGGGAGTTTGGACTTGACTTGTGAGCATGAGGATCTGTTGAACAGGGGAGGGAAGAAAGATAATGCAAAGTCAGCAAGGGGGATTGCAGATGCCCCTACCCCCACAAGTTGTTCCTAGGCTTCACTGAGCCACCCAAGAACTAAACCCTGAAAAAGTACCCCTTCTCCTGCCTCCCCATATCGGTATTTCTGTTCACTTAGCACCCCTTAGAAACTTCCAAACAGAAAAGTTGCCATTTCACAGTAAGGCCTTAATCACAATTGCTCTGCACGTCATATCTGGTCATCCCCATAAATGTTTTCCATAAAATTAACTTTACTTTTAAAATATGCTACATGGGCCCTTTTTGGCCTTCCTTTTGCTCTCCCTTTGCTGCAACAATGGGTCCAGTGGTCATCTGTGGCGTAGGTATCATGCTCTGTAAACCTGTGTGTTGCTCTTGCTCCGTAATCCTATCTTTCTCTCCCCAATAAACCTAATTTTCATGCTTGCCTTAAAAAAATAAAATAAAATATGCTACATGGGGACAGTAAATGATGGATCTTGGTTACTAGTTACTGGGATTTTAGATGCTTGCAGAAGGGGTGTGGAATGCTTCATAGGCATTCCTCAGAAGCTGTATCCAACAGAGGAACATTCTGTGAATGAGGGTCAGATCTGAGTCATTTTCCCACTCTGCCACTCTTGTGTGACCTTGAACAACTCACTTCTCATGATCAAAAGAGATCATCAGAGAAATGCAGATGGAAACCACAGTGAAATACTACTTCATGGCCACTAGAATAACTATAATTAAAAAAATGGACAATAACAAGTGTTGGTGAGGATGTGGAAATGTTAGAACCCTTATAAATGGCTGGTGGGAATATAAAGTGGTGCCACTGCTTTGGAAAACAGTTTGGTGGTTCCTCAAAAACTGTCGAATTACTATATGGCCCAGCAATCTCCCTCCTAGGAATATGCCTGAGAAAATGAAAACATATGTCTACACAAAAAATTTGTACATGAATGTTCATAAAAGCATTATTCATAATAGCTAAAGAGTATAAACAATCCAAATGTCCATCAACTGGTGAATGGATAAACAAAATGTGGTAGATCCACACAATGGAATATCTTTCGGCCACCAAAAACAGTGAAATACTGATACATGCCGCAACATGGATAAATTTTGAAAGCATTATGTTGAAAGAATGTCAGACATAAAAGGCCACATACTGTATGATTCCATTTATATGCAATGTCTATTCAAATCCGTTGGCATAGAAAGTAGAACTATTTGTTGCCATAGACTATGGGGAGAGGGAAACAGAGTGACCACTAATGGGTACAGAATTCCTTTTAGGAGTGATAAAATGTTCTGGAAGTGGCGATGGTTGCACAATCTTGTGAATATACTAAAACCCACTAAATTGTACACTTTAAAAGGGTGGATTTTATAGAATGTGAATTATATCTCGAAAAAATCCACAGGCACACAATAACAGGGTAAGAAAATCAACATGTTATAAAGTCACTCCTAGGCGAAGGGATTATGGGTAAGTGTTTCCTCTTCTTTATACTGACAGAGTCTTTGCCTGGCCAAACTTTAGTTAGGCTCCTCAGCCTTCTCCTAGGCTCATCTGTGCACTTCCTCTTAAAATCCAGTTTTAGCAAAGAACCCTGCTAAATCACTTTGGCAAGAACTCCCCACCCTTGATATTTGATCACCCTAGATATCTGATCTGATTCCTCATCCTTCACTTTCCCCCAGGTAATGTCTGATCACTCCAGCCTGTCCTCACAAGAATCCTGTTAGGTCAGATTAGCCAAAATCCCCCTTACCCCTGATGTTTCCTCTTAGTGATTTTCTATCCACTTACCCCTACCGTGGTCCTTGGTTATAAATTCCCACCAGCCCGTGCTGTACTGGAAGTTGAGCCCAATCTCTCTCCCCCGCTGCAAAATCCCATTGTCATGGTCCTATACCTATCACAATGGTCCTCAATAGTCTGCTTACCATGCTTTGACAAGTGTCACTGAATAACTTTTTCTTTAACAAGGTCTTTTCTCTGCATTTAATATTTTCTACAATTAACATATTATTTTATCAGGAAAATAATGTTTAAATAGCAAATGAATACAAATTAGAGTCCCTCAGTGCTGAAGGATGTGGGGCGGAGGTGAGGAACAATATGACTGGCAACAGGGGAAGACCTTTAGGAGGACTTATATGTGGGCCCTGAGACTGACTGCCAACTCTTGGATGCCTCTCCAAACGTCTAGAATGGAATTAAATTCTAAAAATTAATGTATTGGATTATTTTTCTCTACTGGATTTAAATGTATGCACAATGTTATAAAAACCATACCATGCCAACAAATCCCCATGGTTCATAAACTAGTATGCTATTTCTTTTTCCACCTCTTCTCGGTTATTTTTTTCTGCCAGTGAGATCTGGGACTGAGGGAAGAGAAAATATCTTGTGATTGCAACTACAGTGTGGGATTGTTAATAGCCTAATAGCCTATACAGCAAATACTGGCAATGTTTAGCTAATAGAATGTTATTTACTTTTCTTTCTGTTGAGGGAAAAAAGGCGTGCCTGTCTCACAGGAGTTTTCTTAGACTCCTGTTATGTCCTAATCCTTAGCCTAAGCAGGTTCTAGTTTTCCTACTTCGTTAACTATTTGAGTTCATGATAATAAAAATATTACAATCCCTTGCATACAGTACCTTACTATTTAAAAACCATTTTCACACAATAGTTTACAGTTAAAATATCATTTTCCCAAACATTGTCATATTTGATTCCTGCCATAATCCCATATTGTATGTTACTGTCTTTATTTGTAGGTAAGTAACCTGAGAGCCAGACAGAGCACAAAGAAAGGAAGTGGAATAAGATGTGGTTTTAGTGCTATGACTGCTGTTCTCTGATGCCATCTAGTGCAGGTTCAGCTTAACGAACATGTAATTTCTCTTTGAAGGCCCATTGCCATCTGCCCCTTGGTGCCATCGTTCTCTCCAGTCTGGGTCAAGACCTGTCTCTGAGTCCTGCATCCTGTCTCTGGTTGTTGCCTCTGCCTTCTTCTGGCCTCACTGTCTCCTTTGAAGGGGCTTGAAACCCCCGGTGTGTGTAAATGCTGGTCGTGGTGTGGGTGAATGGATAATAGGAAGGGAGGCAGGGATAACAGGGCCTTCTTTCTTTTGTAGTACTTGCTGCACTTCTAGAGTTGTCCTAGAGTGTGCAGGTTTCAAGGTAGCAGACACACTCATCTGGGTTGCTTTTT